AGTGTACCCCACCACACTTAGGTTAGTGTGCCCCACCACACCTAGGTCAGTGCGCACCACTCACTTTAGCAACAGAAAAACATGGTTTTTTTTTTTTTTAGATTTTTTTTCTCTGTTTAACAGCCCTGGCTGTTCTGGAACTCGCTCTTGTAGACATATCTAGAATGGACCTACTTATAATACTTAAAAAGCAAGAACAATTCGATTGTCTTCCAACAAACAGCATATATAAACTAATTGTAGTGAGTTCACACAAGAGAGTACTCCACAGCAATATAAATGAATAACCCACACACAGCAAGGATGGCTATCACAGCAGACAACGAATAAATACTTGTGAGTTGAAAATGGACAAAATGAGTTATACTGTTAATCTACAGATAAGGACTAGCCTCGGGAGATTAGAAACTAGAAGTAGTCAAAAGAAACATTTTGGGTGCTCTTAATTTCTAGGGTATCCTGTTTATTCATTTATATGTTGTATTCATGAACAAAAAGTATTTGCCTTTTAATTTTTTGTTTTGTTTTTTGGAGACACAAAGTTTTCTGTGTAGCCGTGGCTATCCTGAAACTCTGTTGATCATGCTGGCCTCAAACTGATAGAGATCCGCCTGCCCCTGCTTCCTGAGTGCTAGGATTAAAGGCATGTACCACCACCACCCTTGTGGATTTTTTTTTTTAAAGACAGGATTTCTCTATTGTATAGTTCTGACTGTCCTGGAACTTGATATGTAGACCAGGCTGGCCCCAAATTCATAAAGACTCACCTGTCTCCCTCCTGAGTGCTGGGATTAAAGGCACACAGCACTATGCCTAACTTGCCTTAAATTTTCATAGATATTTTTATACACTGATGATAAGAGCAATTTCCTGGTTATAACCAAGGAATATATAATATAAATTGTATTTCAACAAAAGTTAGCAAAAGAAAAAATTAGTAATTGTGCATAAAAAACTAATAATAACCACATATGCAAGTTGAAGGGATCAGAGGGAATAATGTATATTTTGGCACTTGAGAAAATGCAAAGGAATATAGATGTAGGAATAAGGATAGAGAGTAGGCTATTTAACTTGGCTTAGTATCCTTTCTTTAAATTATAGCTATATATGTATACAACATAACATTTGTCAATTTTTAATATGTTTTAAAGAGAGGAAGTATGTGTGGCTGTATGTATGTGTAGTGAGAGGTGGGAGGAGCCGGGTTCTCTGGGCCCAGGTTAGCACCTGTCCTGGTATGCCGTCTTATGTCAAACATTGCTCTGCTTGCTCATGACCAAACAGTGAAATACCACTGCTCTCTAAGTCGCTGTATTAGTTGTTAGTGACGCTCCAGCCTCCTGAAGCTAGATTAGCTCAGATGACAGAAGATCCTGGGAGCTCCAGAAGTGCCACTACAGAGAGGTCCTATTGCATTAGCTCCACCTGCCAGACTCCCAGAGAGCTTGCACACTGTGACCTCAGAGCTTCTCCTCCAGGAGAGGGGAAGAGTTCTAAATATAGCAAGGGCTGTAGGTGGTCATATTGGGATGGCAGTCTGAGCATCAGTTTTGTTCTCCAGAGTGAAGAAATGTTACAACTATGTTGAAGAGGTGGTCCTTCATTTTGTCCCAACAGTATTCAGAATGGGGAAAAAGAACTCACAGTTCATCAATGTCTACACAGGAGCTGAGGTTATGAATTATAGGAGAATTTGTCTAAGACAATTTCATTGGAGAGAATTTATTGAGTGCCTACTGTGTGGTTGAAAGATACCCCAGCCTCTCAAGACAGCTGAGCCGGACTCAACTAAGTACAGGCCTCCAGCTACAGTGTTTTTCTTTTTTAAAAAAATAAATTTTGTCATATTAAAAATACCTCACAAATAAATAGAATACCACCCACCAAAATTAACAAAACCCATTTAAACAACTAATTGTACCTACATACCGTTAGAATTGGCATTGGCGTATCTGGAGGGGCCTGTCTTGAATCCCAGCATTCAGGAGGCACAGAAGTTAAAGGCTGGTTGACAGAGTTCCAGTCCAGTCAGGTCTCTAAATAAAACAGAATAAAGTAACAAAGGGGAAAAAGAAAAGAATTCGCATTTGAAACAGAAGCTTTGTGCTTCTTTCAGTACTGAATGCATTCCAAACCAAACTCCACGACAGGATCAGCACTAGACAAGCGTCTCTGAAGCACCGCTCCAGCGGACAGTGTGGGGCTGGGCCTGGGATTGGCGTCTCGGTCTCGGTCTTGCACTGTTCCAGGTACCGCATGTAGCGAAGAAGTGCAGTCTTGGAGGGTTGTCACTTGCCGTTGAGTCTCAGTTTTGCTTTGCTCTCCATATGTATGGAGCTTGCACTTGTATGATACAACTTTACTTTTCTCACCTATAAATGGGGTCGGTGATAATATGCCTACTTCATCACAGCGGCACTGTCAAGTTTGAACAAGCTGATGTATAGTAAGTACTTTAGAACAGCATCATATGCAAAGAAAATACTTCAAAAGAGGGCTGTTGCTACAGTTCCATATCAGTTGCTTTCAATGAATACATATTTTAAAAACAAACATTTTTAAGGAAACATTTAAGAGGTAGAGGGTGTGTGGTGCTTGTGGGCAGGAGAGGGATGAGGGGGTGGGGTTCCAATAGACTAGGAGTCTTTTTTGGCCTTGGAAGAGAGCAGCATCCTTCTGCTCTGGGACCCAGGGCTGCTAGCCCAGAATGGCTCTGTCTTTCAGAGAACACTAGGGCACACAGGGCTTCTTACCATAACCCGGGATCAGGGTAGCCCAGCCATCTCTGGTTCTGACATGCTGTGCCGATGAGCATTGCTGTGTGAACTTTGTAGTTTCTGATGCTGGGACTGTGTTTTAAGTTTAATGAAAAGGATCACTTGTGTGACATCATCTGGGTAACTCCAGAAAAGTGATGTGATCCTTTAGACTGTCAGCCTCCCTGTCCTGTCTTGTGGTTGTTTCTTCTCCTTTAGTGGCTGCTAGCTCTGCCCCTCCCTGCCTGGCACTCTGCACACTCTGTGGGTTTTGACTTTTGTCATACTGAGCATGCCTCCTACAACTGTGGCTGAGGCACACATTCTCCCATATTTGGGAGTAAGCCGGAGACTCAGCAGCATGTGGGTTTCTGTTTAAAATTCCAAAGCCAGCGGGGCGTACATTATCCATTTCCTCAAATCCAACATGCTGTAAAGCATGAGTCAGAGTCGGATAAGCTTCTTCCTAGGGGAAGTTGTGTCAGATGGTTAGTAAATGTAATTAAACAAGGATAATGTTCACTGGCATTAGCTACAGATTAGTGCAGAAGAAGACCAAACTCCAGCTTGAGTTTACAATATTCTTGCCAAGATAAAACAGCGTCTCCAGGTCTTGCTAGTCAGACAAGGCAGTCCAGCCTTTATGTGAGCCGTGAAACACGGAAAATCTGTTCCATCAACATCTAGCTACATCCATCTAGCTACATGAAGAATTTTGGTATTAGAACCTTTAAAGGGGAAGCATGTGTTCTGATTTTTTTTCTTTTTTAAAGTATTTTTGAGACTAAGGATGCGGCTCCGTTGGTGGAGCGTTTGCCTCGGCATGCACAGAGCTCTGAGTTCAGGCCCTCGCACTGCATAAAACCAGGCATGGTGGTACACACCTCCATCCACAATATTCCAAAGGTGGAGGCCTTTAGAACCTCCTGCTTCTACCCTGCAACTGCAGGGTTATCAAGCCAGTACACCCAGGCTCTTCACATCACTGCAGCATGCTGTGCTAGACACAGCTCCAGGAGTAGACGCACAGGTGAACCTCACTAGACCACTCTGCAAATACTTTCAAGGTCCTATCTTTTCAAGAACAAATATAATTTCACAGAGTGCTAAAAACAAGATTAACTTGTACTTAAGAACACAATCTCCTGCCACTTGGGCTCTCTCAGTTTTACCATCAACAGTTTTAAAATGTGGGGTTCGGCTGAGTATAGTGGCTCATGTAGTAATCCCAGCAATTAGAAGCCAGAGAAAATAAGGTTGCTTTGAGTTTGAGGCCAGCATGGGATATAGAGTGAGACTCATAATAAATAAATAAATAGATAAATAAATAAATAATAGGGGCTGGAGAGATGGCACTTAAGAGTACTGTCTGCTCTTCTAGAGGGCCTACATTCAATTCCAAACACCCATGTGGTGGCTCACAATCATCCATAAATTCAGTTCCAGATGATGACCCCCTTTTCTGTAGGCAACAGGTATATATGCAGGCAAAATACTCATACACATAAAATAAACCCGAAAACTCTAAAGAAGTCATCGTTGTGATGGTGGAGGCCTTTAATCTTAGTACATGGGAGGCAGAGGCTGGTGGATATCTGTGAGTTTGAGGTCATCTACATAGTGAGATCCTGTCTTAAAAAAACAAAACAAAACAAAATCAAGAAAGATCTAAAGATAAACAAGTCAATCAATAAATAAAATGTATATTTTCTTTTCTGTGTTGCTAAGGTCTGAATTCTTACTTCTGAGTCAAGTTCTCAAATCTAATTTTCTCTTTTGAAGCAAAGGCTTGTTGTATACCTTAGTTCTTGGTCTCACTGCCTCTGCCTTAGACATGCTGGGATTATAAACCCGTTTACCATACCTGACTTCTATATAGTTTTTCACTCCAGAAAAAGGTTTTAAAATTTGTTTTGACCTAGATTCAAAGTTTTCTGCTGCTTAGAACAGCCTCGGTGGTTAAAGGAGAAGGGGATACATGGTTGCTTTCTTCCTCTCTGCCATTATCACCTTCCCCTTGAAGGAAAGTGTCAGAAAGACACTTGACTTTTTAGAACATGTATCTCTGTTTTGGTGTTTTCCAGTGTCCTTTCTGATGTAGGTCAAGACATCTTGTTTCTCTTAAATGAGAGATTATAGTCTTCCAGCTCAAACAGGATAGGAAAGAATCTTCCAAATAAGGAAGTTTTGTTGGAGTGTGCAGCGGGCCAACAGCAGTTGCTGGAGGCCTGACAGTCTGATACAGTAGCGCTTTTCCTCCACCATCAGCACCAGGGAGGCACGGAGCTCCTGCGGAGGCCAGTCGCCTGGGAAAGACCACTCTGGGGAGGACAGTTTGTCTTGAAATGTGGCCTGCTTTCTCCATCCCCTCCTAATCCCAGAGTTTCACTAGTGTTTCCTCTCTTGGTGAGCTCTGGGCCAGTGAGAGATCATGTCTCAAAAGAAAGAAGTGGACTGTACCTAAGGAATGACAGCCAAATAAATTTGGGTTAAAATACCAGCTCTCCACACATAATCTGCTGAGTAACCTTTTGAAAGCTAAAACATTTTCTTTTTCCCTTTTTCTAAAGTGAAAACATAGTGTCTATCTCGTAGAGCTGCTACAAAAGTACATGACCTAATGAGCGTAATGCACGGGCCATGTTCTAATCATCTTTCTAAGACTCTAAAATTGCTAATTTTTCATTCTTTTTTAGGTTCTCTTAGTGTGAGCCCACCATCTTTACACCGGGGGTTTGAAGACAGCATGACTATTAAAGCAGTGTGGTCTGAGCTGTGAATGACTTTAAGGAAAGAGTGGTCAGTGTTAATCCCAGGCGGCAGCAGCTTGTCTCTGCTTGCTGAGGCAGATGCATCATCACCTGTCGCCATCAGCCATGGGACATGTGCACCCTTAAAAGTGCCTGATGGGCACAGTTTACGCTTCTGTTTCTTCTTTCCGAATAAATCTCTTGCACTAACTCTGTTGCAAGCGGCATGTTTGCGTAGTGGCATCCCTTGGCAGGGTCTGAAAGGCACCCGCTTTACCTTTTTTTTTTAATCATTACAATTAGCCCATATGAACTTCTAACTGCTGTGACAACGAGGGACGCTCTTGAAAGTGGGATGGATATTTCCTTTGTGGCATAGACGCTGCATCCTGGGAAGTCCTAGCCCTCAATATGATAATATTTTGAGTTAGGGGCCTTTGGGTGGTGATGCAATTTAGATGAGATCCTAAAGGTAGGGCTCTCAAGTATCAGAGGAGGAGGAAGAGGGAAAGGTGGAGAAAAAAAGAGAAAGAGGCGGAGATGAAAGAAGAGAAAGCAGAGGAAGAGAGAGCAAGGGACATAAATCTGTCAGTAAAAAGTTTGGCTTGCAAGCACAGGACCTGAGTTTGAATGCTCATAGAAAAACAAAAGCAAAACAAGCAAATAAAAATTCCACCAAGGCATGGTGGTACACACTTGTAATCCCCAGCCTGATTCTAGGAAAGCATAGGTAGATTTCCGGGGCTTGCTGGCAGGCAGCTTACTTGGATAGTTCCAGACTGGTGACCACACCTGGCTCAACAAAACAAACAAAATAGGTGGGCAGGTGTTGTGGAATATCATTTTAATTATGTGGGGGTGTATTACATTTGTTTATGCTGTGGAATATCACTTCAATTATGAGGAGATGTGCTACATTTGCTTCTGCTGCCTTTGCTAAATGGTGTGTACTCTGTATGTGCCTGGTGCTCAAAGAGGTCAGAAGAGGATATTGGATTCCCCAGAAGTTGGAGCTATCATTTGGGTGCTGAGAATCAAAGTCAGGTCCTCTGGAAGAGCAACAAGTGCTTTTAACCACTGAGCCATCTCTCCAGCCCTAATTCCTATTGTTTAAGATACCTAATTTATGGTGTTTTATTAGGGCAGCCAGGTTGAAAATGGCATTTTAATAAGCATCTCTGTTGTTTCTTTTTAAAAATCAAATTTCTCCTTATGTCCTATAAATAGAACAAGGCTTATTAGATGAATATCATTATTTAAGATGATATTCAGGCAGTGGTGGTGCATGCCTTTAATCCTAGCACTTGGGAGGCAGAAGAGGATGGATCTCTGTGAGTTCAAGGCCAGCCTGGTCTACAAGAGCTAGTTCCAGGACAGGCTCCAAAACAGAGAAACCTTCTCTTGAGAAACAAACACGCAAACTAATTAATTAATTAACCAATTAATTAATTAAGATGAGAGTCATCAGATTAAAAAATCCAGGGCTCCAGGTAAGCTAGGCAAAACTCTATCAGCAAAGCTATATGCCCAGCCCTATGATTTCTGTCTTATATCCTTGTTTATTCTGGATAGTCTTTATAAATTTTAGTATTACCAAAGATGCTTCTTGATTTATGATGGTGTTACATCCATAAATGAGAAGCCAGAGATACATTTAATACACTTGACTGAACAAGCACTATTGATTAGCAGCACGGCACACTACAGGTGGTGCCCTCAAGGTGGCGTGGCTGATTGACAGCTGTAGCTCCCTGCCGCTGGCCTAATTACACCAAACAGTGTCATATCTTACGTGCCTTGTCTGGGGAAAGACACAAACTCAAAGTGTGATTTCTACCACACACTCACTACTGCCATACCACAGTAAGGTGAAAAACAGCAAACAAACCGAAAATCAAATTATTATAAATCAGGGACTGTCTTATACCCCAGGATCAATTTTAATAGGAATGGTACCACTATTTCATGGTTTTTTTGTGTGTGTTTTATGCATGTATATGTTGGTCTGATAAAAAGGAGAGATAACAGTGTCTCTCTCTTTTGATTTATTATATAGTTCTGGTTGACCCGAAGCTCACAATGCAGACTAGTCTGGCCTAAACCCACAGAGTGAATAGGCAGGAACCTGGAACCCCTGCTGGCCTGAGCGTGAGTCTGGGACCTCTGAGCGAGTAAGCAGGTCCTCTACAATTCTGCTCCCTCCCAAACCTGGAACCTCTGAGACAGTAGACCGGAACCACAAACCTTTCCAGGTCCATCTCCAACCCACAGACTACTGCAGGAGGGAATCCAGACCAGTATTTACAGATACAGGTCAAAGCTGGTAACCTAGGCCAAAGTAGGCCTGAGACAGCAAACTCCAAGGGAGCAGAGCAAAGCACAGGAGCACTGAGCTATCTCCAGGAACACAGAGTAACCAATGGGGTAACTAGAACTGTGACACTGACTGTACCACGAGAAACAACCATCTGAGCTTTGGATTCA